GTCCTCCACCCCAGTCTCCTCAGGTCCTCTCCATCCCAGTCTCCTCAGGTCCTCTCCATCCCAGTCTCCTCAGGTCCTCTCCATCCCAGTCTCCTCAGGTCCTCCACCCCAGTCTCCTCAGGTCCTCCACCCCAGTCTCCTCAGGTCCTCTCCATCCCAGTCTCCTCAGGTCCTCTCCATCCCAGTCTCCTCAGGTCCTCCACCCCAGTCTCCTCAGGTCCTCCACCCCAGTCTCCTCAGGTCCTCCACTCCACCCCAGCTGCCTCCTTCCCCTTCGTTTCAGAGCCACTTCTCAGCACAGTGTGCGAAAAGACACAGACTTGGAAGTCAGCCACACTTGGGATCAACCTAGAAACACGTTTTCTTCCTTGGCAGTTTCTGACACACAGGGCTCCCTAAGATGCCAGACACTCAAGCTGTCACACCGCCTGTTTTCTTTTGCCTTCACTCTGCCTCATGCGCCATGCGTGTGTCTCCCAATCGCCCTTCCTGGTTCAGACCAGGAAAGTAAACTCAGAGTTCTAAGAGTCATATCTGACACAGCTCTTAGAAACTCAAGGGAAAAAAGCAAGAGGCCTGATTCTAAAATGGACGGGGAGGGAGGGCAGCTCCAAGAGTGTGTAAGGGAAGTTTACGTACATATCAAGGGGAACCAACACGAAGAGGCTGCATGATGGACAACACCAACTGCAGGATGCCGTGGGTAAAGCAGACACGATGTAAGTGGTCAGAGTTCAGGGGAAGGGGGAGGTGGGAAGGAAGAGCAGAGGGGACGCCCCAGACACTGGTGCATCTGCATGACTCTGCTGTGGCAGTCAGCTTACATCACTGCTTATCTACCCAAACCAATCACACTGACAACACCTAGAGTGAACTCCATGTGACAATACTGCAGTCACTGAGTGTAGCAAATGTACCGTTCTGATAGGAGTTTTCATAATTGAGGATTAATGCATGTGCGGTCAGAGAAAAATGTGAAAACCCGATGTTTCTGTGAACCTAAGTAAGTCCCCATGCCTGCGCTCAGGCCCAAATCTAAGTTCTAACCATGACTTTAAACTGGCATCTTCAGTAAGTATAGACTAGATCTGGTATGGTAAGTACTTAGGGGAAAGGGGGTATGGGGTGCCATTGGAGGAGTCAGAAGACTCCTACTGAGAGCAAGATGGAGGAGCGGAGACCCACAGAGAGAAAGGAAGCAGGCTGTATAGAAGAGCAGTGAGCAAGAAATCCCTAGGCCTGAGGAATCAGGAGGAAGTAGGGGCAAGGGAAGGAGAGCCAGAGGAAGCGAGACTGCTGGAGCCAGGACCTGCAGGGAGGCATTAGCTTGCTGGCCATGGGGAAGACTTCAGCTTTTATTCCAAGTGAGGTGAACATTTTAAGCAAAGTGGTGCAACCTACATTTGGAAGTGACCACTAACCCTGGTGCGTTGAGTTTGGGCCACAGAGGGATAAAAGCAGACATGGTGAGACCAACTAGAAAGTTTTCTGAAATCCCATGCAAGAAATGAGACTACCACTAGAGAGGTAGGAAGTCTAGAGTGGTTGAAGGTGGTTTAGTTCTTGGACGTACTTTGCAAGCAAATTCTATAGGACTTACAGATATATTGGAAATGAAGTATTAGAGGAAGGAAGGAATGCAAGATGACTCTGAGGTTTTGACATTAGCTGTTTAGCAGATGGATTTGTGCTTATTGAGATGGAAATGTGGTGGGAGATGAGAAATTTTACTTTGGGTCTATGTCAAGTTAGAGGTACCTATTAAGTAGTCAGATAAACAGTCAAAAACACCATTTGGCATATGGATCAGGAGTTTGAGGGTAAAGTCTGGGCTGATTTCTGGACAGACACTTCACTATTTGAAAGTTAAGACGTGAGAAGGAACCAGCTAAGGAAGAAAGAAGATATGTTTGCTCTATGATAGAAACACACACACACACACACACACACACACACACAGACAGAGAGAGAGAGGGGGGAGAGAGAGAGAGAGAGAGAGAGAGAGAGAGAGAGAGAGAGAGAGATCCCGTGGGTCAAGGAACATCTTTTAAGAGGACATGTTTAATCAGTTGTGCCAAATATTGATGACAAGCTGGAGAGAAAACTGACACTGCACTCAGGAAAATGGAAGTTGTCACACCAATGCTAATTCCTCATCCAGACAGTCTGAATGAACTTCCTCTCCTTCTCACAACAAGGCATCATTGCTACAGGAGTCTTATGACAGTTTATAATTATGTGTTGTGGTCTACGGCCATACCACCCTGAATGCGCCCAATCTGGTCTAATTATGTGTTGTGTACTTATGTGTCTTCTGCTGGGCTCACAGTCCATTGAACATAAACATCTACAGGACAGGGCTAAAGCTCTGCCCCCATTCAGAGCCAAAGGCTGTGGCAGCTAGGGTGGTACATACACACACCCCACACACATACATGCACACACTTATGGGCACACACATATCACACATTCAGTGAACACAAACACACATCACAAATATACATAAAATACACACATACAAATATACATTTATATAAATATACATCACACACACTGCACAAACTACTCAAATGTATACTCCTCAATTACCCATAGCACATGCCAGACAAACTACAATCAGATACACACCTTAAACACACATACTGTGCATTACACATGCACACATACATGTACTTACATATAAATGCAAACATACCACACAAATATACACTAAGTATTTCTTAGAAGACTGAGAAGGAACCACCAGTGGGACATCTTTGTTCGATCACACCCATTTAGCCCTTCATAAAGATCCCAGAGGCTTGCTTTGACCTCATCATTAACCAGCTCCTTCAACATGGGAAAAACTCACTTTTCTCCTTTGGATTCTCATTTCTGTAGCTGCATGAATTAATGACTTTTGCCAAGTCTATCAGCCTACAATTCTTTCACAGGTATAAATCTGGCCTCCTAAAATCCAAGCTATGGACTAATTTACCCATCTCTTCCCACACTGTACTCCTGACTGCTTGGATGCTATGAAGAGATGTGACCACAAGTTCAGTCTAATGTTTACAGGGCGCATACATAAGAAAGCGGCCTGGTCAGTCATTCGTGTGGCAGTGTGAGCACGCTGGCCTGCTCACTTCTTGATTGTGGTTTTAGGGAAGACTTGTTAAGGGGGAACAAAAGTGGATGTACTCCATGTTGTCACTGGGCAAAGGGGCACAAAAACAAAGACTATAGGGAAAACAATCGAAGCCACTGAAAACTCTCTTGGGTAGACCTTAAGAATCCACAGCAAAGCCCTGAAAGAGCTTGCCTTGGGTCTTTAACTCCAAAACCACACTGAATGTCAATTAATGTTGAGAAAGCAGTTTCTCCAGCCTGCAATTTGACATGGGTATAAAAGTGATGGAGTTAGACTTGACCATTTGCAAACACCCTGCCACTGTTAAAACCAAGGCTTCTCTGACCGGGAAGGAAAGGACAGGAGGTTGTTTCAACCTACTGATAGTAACTGTGTATTTACAATACTCACATGACAACCTCAGCCCCAGGAAGCATTTGTGTACACAGAAAAATAAGAATTGCTTGTTTGCTCAAGTTAGAAAAGAAAGTAACTGGCTCTTGCCTATCCTTGAAGAAGACACAATAAGTATGGTCAGATGTCCAAGATCCCAGAACTCATTGCTGGAATTGCTTTGGGGTAACGTTGCTCAGAGAACCAGGGTTCCTTTACTCTAGCAGATATTATCCTTCCTGTAACAATCCTGCCAGTGAACACATTCAGTGTTCTCCATACACTTGTGCCCGTACAGGACTAGTTTATCTCAGATCTTATTTACAAGCAAAGCAAGATTTTTGTGAACCAAGAGACAGCAGAGTCAGCGATTTTACCCCAGACCCAGACTTGCAGGTTAAATTTAAACAAACGGGCAAACGAAAGCAAATCAAAACATCCCTGGGCACAAGAGACTGACATCAAGTAGATCAGCAGAAGAAGGTCAGTGACATCAGCCTCATTAGCACTGCCCTGGGGACAAGAGACATCGAGTTATTGGATGGCAAGGATGCGATAAGAAACTTGATAATGACCGTCACTGCTGAGGTCAGGTCCGTCTCAAGCAAGGAAAGCAGGAACCTGGCAATGCGCACGCGCATGGAGGGGTTTGTGTGCTGTGAGGGCACATGTGTGTTGAAGAAACTGTGGGTGGAACAGTTAATATGGGGCTTTTCAATCCAGGAAGTCTATGTCCCTTCCAAAGCCTGGACTTATTAAAATCTTGGCGTTTCTCACCTCTGTTACAAGGCATGTATCATAATCTCCGCACGCTACTGTGCCGTGCTTGGGTCTGAGGTTGCAGGCGTGCCAGAGTCCTCTCACTTGCCAGCCCAGGGATCATTACTATCGGCTTCCCTTGGGGCAGTCTAAGCTTAAGAAGCCTGATTCTGAGAGGAGCCATCATGCTGGAAGGCTGTGACCTGGCCAGCTGTGTGGTGGTCCAACACTCAAAGCCCTGAGACTCCCACCTCAGTGTATCCAGAGCCCCTGTGAAAGCAGCTGACACCCCCTGGGGGGGCTGTTTCAACAGCTATAAAACCGTCTAATAGCTCATTCAGAGTTCCTGTCCGCCAGACCACCACCACGTCAATGGAAACTGACTTGGGTCCAAACAGGATGAACCAAACTTCTATTAAAGCAAGAACGTTACCCCAGGGCTGAAGGGCTTTAAGTGGACTGTGGGTAATGTTTTATTGCCTCAGCGCTAGGGTGAACTCAGCCCCCTCCACTTAGCTTCACCTTTCACAATGTTATTTTTAGAGTTCTCATTACACCCAGCTTAAACTAAAAATACGATTCCCAGGAATAGCAAAACCTAGTTTTAATTGTGCAAAGAGAAACCAGTGCTCATGAATTCTGATTACATCCGATGGTTCATGTGTCTGACATCACCTCGAGGGGCATGCTCTCCGGCTGTTGGAGTCGATCCGTTTGTTTTGTTTTTGCCACTTTCCAGCACTGGGGCTGTCTCTGCTGCTGATGCTTGGATTTCCTATGCCGTGAAACAGAAACCCTGCTTGGGAGGAGTTCACCTCCGAGGAATGCCCTCCAGCCATTCCAGTTCATCTAACAGTGGACAACCCTGCACTGCCTGCCATCCCTCCCACCGGGAGGTCAAGGTCCCGTGGGAGGTGAGCTTTGGAGTCTGACAAATGGTATTATACTGATAATGAATTAACTAACCTATACTGTAGAGTCCTAGCAAAGTATCAGCTTTTTATCTGGTTAATTTTTATACTAGTCAAAATAGTGGGGACCTCCCGTAAGCAGTAAGGAGAGATGAGAGACACGCGTACCACAGCATGGGCCTGAAGAAGCCTACACAGGGGTTTGCACAGCTGTGCTACAGGTCAGCATGAAGTGCCACACCGAACATGAAACCTCGCCTAGACTGTGAGATCACTTACAAAGGTCTGCTGTATCCCAGGAAAAGACATTCTCATGAATGCAGCCTGGCCCTAGAAGGATACTTAGGGCAGTCACTGTCTCTGTCAGGTGTACTTGGGAGATAAAGACACTCTCTAGGAAGAGACTGTCTGGGCCGGAGCACCTAAGTCTGCCTTTTACCACCAAAATGATCTTGGACATCTTAAGATTTCATACCTCACTTATGTAGCTTAAAGATGCATATATCATCTATATCTCAGAATTTAGCCTTGGGGACTAAACGAGAAAGGGTGACATATATATGCCGTTAGTACAATCTTCTACCCAAGTGCTCAAGAAAGATCTGTTGTTAATAGAAACCGCATTCCTGGTGGAGACAGCTGCTTAAACAGAACAATTAGGGAACACAGGTGCTCTCGACTGGAGTCATGGTGCATATCTGGGGAGAAGGGGCAAAGTATCCTAGATAATCTTTGAAGTTACCTGTTTTTCATCAGTGTAGACTCCGCATCTCCACATGGTCTTTGGTTTCTCTAAGGACAGGGACTTCCACTGAAACCGTTTACTGAGTTCCTCAGCCTTGTCTTCTCTGGGCAATCTTTTCCTATTCCAGTTTTCAGACAACTATGAACATTCTGATTGTCAGTTAACTTCAGAATGCCATGTGACCACCCACTCCAGCAGACCACAGAGAAAAAGAATGTGTTTGAGAGATTTTTGCCTGATGAGGCATCTGGAGGCCTTGAGCTCATGTTTTTCATCTTGCAAATCCCACTGTCTGAGAAGGAAGCTTGGTCAGAATGGATTAGACAGCAATGCTGAATGTGGATTGAATAAATGTGGGGTACCAGAGGGGTGAACAATATTGAGCCACACTGAACCTCTTAGAAGAAAAAAGGGTGGTACCCTTGAACAAACTGGTACAGGAGACAGCTTCCTGAACATAACACCAGTAACACAGACAGTGAGATCAACAATTAATAAATGGGACCTCCTGAAACTGAGAAGCTTCTGTAAGGCAAAGGACACAGTCAGCAAGACAAAAAGGCAGCCCACAGAATGGGAAAATATATTCACTAGCCCCACATCTGACAGAGGGCTGATCTCCAAAATTTACAAAGAACTCAAGAAGCAGGTCTCCAAAACACCAAAGGAACCAATTAAAAAGTGGGCTGCAGAACTAAATAGAGAATTTTCAATAGAGGAGTCTAAAATGGCTGAGAGGCACTTGAGAAAGTGCTCAACATCCTTAGCCATCCCGGAAATGCAAATCAAAACAACTCTGAGATACCATCTCACTCCTGTCAGAATGGCTAAAATCAAAAACACCGACAATTTATGCTGGAAAGGATGTGGTGAAAGGGGAACACTCCTCCATTGCTGGTGGGAGTGCCAACTTGTTCAGCCACTTTGGAAATCAGTTATGGAGATTCCTCAGGAATCTCCTACCACAGAAATCAGCCTACCACAAGATCAAGCAACTCCACTCTTAGGCATATATCCAAAAGATACCCATTCATACAACAAGGATATCTGTTCCACTATCTTCATAGCAGCATTATTTGTAATAGCCAGAACTTGGAAGCAACCTAGATGCCCCTCAACCGAAGAGTGGATAGAGAAAATGTGGTACATTTACACAATGGAGTACTATTCAGCAGAAAAAAACAATGGAATCCTGAGATTTGCATGCAAATGGATGGCACTATAAGAAACCATCCTAAGCGAGGTAACCCAGTCACAAAAAGAGAAACATGGCATGTACTCTCTCATATATGGATTTTAGACATAGATCTAGGGGGTGCCAGCCTACAATCCCATGGCCAGAGAGTCTGGGAAACAGAACCGTCATTCAGTGGCTGATGGAAGAAGAGGCATACTCCCAAGGTAAAGTACTGAGCTGAACTCAAGAAATCCAGTGACAGAAGGGAGGATTGATGACCAAAGGGATTAAGACTAGGCTGGTTTAACACCCAGAAACAGCTGACCTGACAACAGTTAGCTCTTGATGCCTGCGATTCCAGCATGGGACTGATCAAGACCCCCTGAATGTGGGTGTCAGTGAGGAACCTAGGTAATCTATTGAGCCTTGGGTAGTAGATCAGTATTTATCCTGGGCATACAAATGGACTTTGGGTACCCATCCAACAATGTGAGATGCACTCTCACCCTGAACTCTTGGGGGAGGGTCTAGGCCCTGCCTTGGATGAAATGACAGACTATGGACACCCCCATGGATGGCCTCACCCTCCCTGGGGAAATGAGGGAAAATTGGGGGGGGGGTTGGGAGGAAGGACATGGGAGGAGGGGAGGAAAACGGAGAGGGACCTGGAACTGACTTGTGAAGCAACCTTGTTTCTAATTTAAATTGAAATTTAAAAATAAAAATAAATAAATAAGTAAATAAATAAACAAATAAAAAAGAAGGGGGTACGAGGACACAGGTGAGCAAAAGGGCCAGCACGTTTTCAAAATAAGACACTTGTGAGCTCTTCGTATGAGCAGTGGACACTGCAGCAGTCTCGTTGTTTCTCCGCCTCCTGCTTCTCTTTGAATACCAGAAAACCTTCACTCGACTGCTTTTTTCTAAAGAGATTTTAACATACATAGATAGGCAAGGAAATAAAATTTCTTTTTTCAAAGCAAAAGCAGCCACTGCACATACCATTGTGAGTAAACAGCGGAGACAGGGGAACTGAGGAGAAAGTGGGGGTGCATAGTGCCAGCCTCTCCAGGGCCCGTGTCCCATCAGCCTGTGCTAACTCCAGATTCCCTGCACATGGCTTTAAGATCACAGACTGGGCCTTCCTCCTCAGCCTTGCCTTAGACTTCCAGCCCCTGCAGCCCCTCTTTCCCTCATTATGCCACACTTCTTACTTTGGGACTCATCTGGGCAGTTGGCAGCCCATGGCTCACGCACAGCTCTAGGGTGTCTGAGAAGGGAACAAGTGGACCAGGGTGACGGGCAGATAGCTGAGGCCAGGTATGCCCAACTCCACAGGAGCCTGGAAAAGGGGGGCCACCTAGGAGCAGCCTGGCTGGACAGCCAGTGCTCACTAATCCTCCCACGGGGAAGCCAAAATGGTCAGTTTTCATCTTCCTATGACCCGCGTGTTGTCCTTCACCCTGCTGCCTTTATTTTCAAACTTGCCAATGGACTGTGAAAAGGTCACACCCGTGAGCAAAGCCCCGGGCGGCTCCAGAAACAGGCTGTGAGGAGGAAGGTGCAGGATCACGGTGTGGTGAGGGAAGGACAGACACTCAGATCTGGGAAACAGAATGAAGAAACTGGGCTCACCATAGTCTTTAATCAGAGCCCAAACGAGACGTTTTTAAGTCGCTGCGGTCCTACCTGGTAAGAATGGAACGTTGGCTGCAAATGCAGGATGGACTACACAGTTGCTGAACTATATTTATCAAATTTCTTAATAGAAGAGGGCTCAGAGGCCTTTGAGAAAACAGCTTTCTTTGACAGTGACAGAAGCTAGCAACAAGCTGTTTAGTGTTTTCGCTCAGTTGCCAAGCGGGTGAGTTGGTTAAAATAGGAACCACATCAGCTCTGTTTGTAGGAACGCACAAGGCTGCTGTCTGCAGAGGTCCTGTGTCCCTGAACTTATTTCCAAGACAGAATCAGAGTTTCTAAAAGGAGACGGGCAGGAGCATCACTGAAGAGACATGTGTTCAGAGGGCCTGGCATCCCTCCAAATCATCACGCTGTCCTGATATACTGGGAGAGCCGGGATCAGCCTGTCTCGAGGACATGGTGACATCAATTTCTTCTAACACAGTGGTTCTCAACCTCCCTAAAGCTGTGATCCTTTAATACAGTTCCTCATGTTGTGGTGACCCCCAACCATACAATTACTGTATTACTACTTCATAACTGTCATTTTTGCCACTGTTATGGATCATAATGCAAATATTTCTGGATTTAGAGGTTTGCCAAAGGGGTGGGGACCAACACAGGCTGAGAGCCACTGTTACCACACCAGCTAATTCCACATAAGCACAAATTTCAAGAAAGCTGAAATCACAGTAGCAGACAATGGTGATCTGGGGTTCGTGTGACAAAGCTGCCTCGTTTGAAGCAGGGGAGATTACACCACAGAGATCACTAGACTGGGCTTCGGAGGTAATTGCAGAGGTCTCCCACTAGTTCATCATGCTCCCCAACGAACTACCTGGCTCCTCAAGATAGGACCTGGCTGCAGAGTTTCACACCTGACCACAAAACCAGGGGAGACAATGCGGAAGAAGACCACAGGCTCCCAGGGGCTCCAAGTGCAACATCTGGGGTCCTGCTGCTGACAGCATCCTCTCAAAGCTGAGAAGAGTTAACCAGCTTTCTTTCCAGTGTATAAAGAATTCAAAGACTCTGATGAGCCACACAAGAAAATTAAAGAGAGAAAATATCAAGACAACCCAGGGACTAATGAATAATGCAATAAGCAAAAGAAAAATGCTCTTTCTGGAACTTGTTCTAAAACATTGAGTATTTCAGTGTAGTGGGATATTAATAGAGCATTTTCACTGTCTTATCAGGACTCAATAATCATCAGGTATAAATATACAAAAAAGTCATCTAATAACAACTTCACCTTCTTGTGGCCTCTGTCTAAAGGAGATCATACTAAGAATACACAGCTCTCAACGTGGGTGAGCTGGATGTCCAAACCCTCCCTTTAAGAGAAGCCTCAAAAGTGTGACAGCCACAGATCCTGACCTAGTTACTTTTCTGTGCTGTGATAAGACATCCTAACCCCAGCAGCTGGAGGAAAGTGGGTTATCACTCACAGTTTAAGGTGTGGTCCATC